ACTGAGCCAAGGACTTGGGACTTAGTGTGCTGCCATTTTCAACCCAAGATGGTACATGTTTAGGGGGTGGGTTCTTTGTTGACGCTTCAGATTTGTTTCCTTCTCCTCCTTAGTTTGAATTTCCCAAATGTATCCTTTTTTCCTATCACAAAATGCATAACAGGAAAGACCCATTTATGATGAGTGATTTAGTGGAACAGTCATTTACAAAGAGATTTCTTCACTCATTTCCTTTAATGCTGTGTCCTGATTATTCAGGAAGACTGAAACCTGAGAATGGAGACTAGGTGGGGGACACGTTCCAATTAGATGAGGTGTTTATCTGCTGACCCAGTCATTTCAAAGCTATTTATGACAAACCAGTATAAATCACTGTGAGGTGTGGAATCTCCTTGCAAAAAACAGTTTTGCCTTCAGTCTCAGTTCTTTTGAGCCAGACCACACCTGAGGCTAATGAATGGGGGGCTGACCAGACTGAGAGGAACCCCCTAGTAGCCCGATGTTGACTACCTCAGGAGGCATGATCGAATGTATCGTGACCACATGGTAAGGGCAATAAAGACCCCTGAATACAGAGGCTTGGAGACCTTCCAGGTTGGTGAGAACATCTGTTCTCCAGAGGGTAGGGTAGCGTGTCCCCTAGGCACATGAAAGCTTCACGTTGAGAACGTCCTCAGACCTCACCCTATGCATCTCTTCATTTGTATATGTTCTGAGTATAATAAATCTTTAGTTGTAAGTGTAGTATACTCTCCGTGAATTCTGTGAGTCATTTCAACAAATTATCAAACCCAGAGGGGCAGTAGGGGCCAACAGGGTGTCATGTGGACTCCTGAGCTTGCGACTCGCATCCTGAAAGTGTGGTGGGAAACCAGCCTCGAACCTGTGACCAGCAGGACAGAAGGTGGGGGTAACGTGGACTTCCTGAGCTTGCAGCTGGTATCTGCCTCTTTGGCAGTCTGAAGGGCAGCGTCCTTTTAATTTGTGAGCTCTGAACCAGCTCCAGGTGGCTAGGATCAGACAAGTGCTACATAGGCAGCTGATCTGAAGGATGATGTCCTTCCTTCTAACTTGTGAGCTCTGACCCAGCTTTAGGAGGCCAGGGTCGGAGAGTGTGTCCCGCGTGGGCAGCTGGTGATGAGGATGGAGAAGTAAGAAGGTGAGCACTGGATCAGTCCCCACATTTTGGGGATTGGATTTATGCTGATCCTTACCACACAATTGGCGACAAAGGTAGGATTTACCTCTTACCTAGCACCATCACCAAATGAAGATTTTCAACATTTGTACTTGCTTGGCTTAAAATGAGACCATCAACTAAGTTTCCATTGCTGAACTTTTTTAAAAGCAGTGGAATTCTTTTTTCTCTAAAGGCAATCTTCACCGAACTCCAAAAGTTAAAACAGTTAGAAGCAAAGCTCGTTTTAGTTGGAGTTCATCTTTTCCCTCACTGAACAACCCCTGCTACTTGCAGGTGGTAGGACCCTAGGGTTCTTAGTAATTTTGTTTAAATACTACTAATTTGGAGTATTAATATTTTTATAGGCTTATTGGGGCCCTCGTGGTGCAGTGGTTAAGAGCTCGACTGCCAACCAAAAGGTCAGCAGTTTGAATCCACCAACCACTCCTTGGAAACCCTGTGGGCAGCTCTGCTCTGCCCTGTGGGGTCTCTGTGAGTCAGAATTGGCTCAGTGGCAATGAGTACAGGTATTTTATTCCCTGTTACAAACCAGTTTTGGGATGCAATGTGTAGTTATCCAGAAAAATACTATTTATGAAAGTTCGATTCTTTCAAAGTTATGATTTCTGATTTTTCTTTAAAATGTTACTTTTGATCAACTTCTGGCCTTTTTCCTAGACTCAGAAATGGAGCCATAAATGACTGTGTTTGATAATTTCTCCACATCGTAGAAAAGAGGCAGCTCATTATAGCAAAAGAAGTTCCCCAACTAGGAGTTAAAGCGGTAGTCCTCACACCGAAGCATATCCTGGGGTATGCAAGGAATTTGCAGTATGGGTAGTTTCAAAGGAATCACATTTTGAATCTTTGTATTCCAGTTTCTAAGGATTCAATTTCTGGATCCTTTTTCCTAAAATTAATTTGCCTGATAATATATTTGTATTCTCAGTGGCACTTGCTTTTCCCACTTTACAAGAAGGGAACTTTAAATCGTACTATAATGCAATGCTCCAGCATTCCAAGCACAAAGAATTAATCATGGTCCTTAAACCCATAAGGCTTCCAATCTTTCTGTGCCTCGTGTATTTTCTTGTTAAGGGTGAAGCTTGACTTTAGAAACTCTGTTAGATGTTCTGTATTCAGATACATGGTACAGTTGGAGACTGCTGGGAGTTGTTGTGATAGCTTCCTTTCAGGATTGTGCCTTTTTCATCCTCTTACTATTTTCAGAAGAACTCATACCTTTAAGGGAGAATCCTGCGGGACCAAAGCAGAGAGAGCCTTGGTAAGAAACGGTGAATGTAGTAAGAATGTGTTATGAGCTAGAACAAACAATATGTAGGTTTGTGATTCTGGTGTGGCAGTGAGAAGGTAAGCAACTTACTTAAAGGTCATAGCCAGTCAGTGACTCAGTCAGGGTCAGAACCCCGGGCAGTCTGGATCCATCGTCAGTGTTCTTCACCCCTACGATATGCTACCTATTTAAAATCATATCTTGAAAGATTTATGCAAATTACAGTCAATCCAATTTAATTTTATTTATATAATGTTTATTTTAATATTTTACTTTCTACTAATAAATACGATATCTATTTACTAATTGCTGGACTAGTTTTGTTTTTTGAGCAGTATACATCTTTCTCTTTCATTAAATGCAGAGTAAAAGTTAATCATTTCTAACTGAATTAATGAAATTATTTGAGTTTTTATACTTGATTTCTTTTTTTAATTACTGCTTGAAGCTAAACATCAGATTTCTGTACATATATAACATATATTCAATGAAGGAATATATCTCACTTCATAAATAACTTCCACTTTTGGGTACAAACTACAGTGCATTATTACAAACTGAGGATTGAGTAACAGATTGATTTATTAACATCTGTTTATACCTTTAAAAATGGATACATTAAGTATATTAGAGCTCATTCATTTGAATTAAAAAATAAAGTAAGACTTCTGGCAGAAAACAAATCTGATTTGGCTGACTTAACAGTGAGGACTGGCTTTGCCAATTAAGCTATGGTAGATGTTTTCAATAAACTGAGTGGGCTAAATCTGCAGCCATAATTGACAAAGTTGAGTTGACAACTGATCCATCATTAAAAATGGATTTTGGAAATCAAACACTGTGGTTTGGGGCATATAACTTGTAAGGAGGTCAGAGCATCAAGGAGGAGACATAACTATCACAATTCCCGTGACTTATTTATGGCTTAGCACATCCATCTTTTTTTTTAAAGCAAGCCCCAAAATAGAAAATACACCTAGACTTACCACTGAACCCTGGCTCATTTTCACAGTGAGTCATTTCTATCCATGGATACGTGAAATAATTGTAGGAGAAAAGGGCCGCCCTGCTTATCTCCTTAAGATACGCTTTCCAAGTAGAAAATAGCAACAAAATTTATGACATATTTAAGTTTTGATTACCTGTGTAATAATAGTAATTGTTATGATAACTTAATTCAGAAGAAAGAATTTTAGCTTTTAGAGCTTTATGGATTCAAAAGGTAAAACAAATTTTAAAGTGTCATGTTATATATGCATTTTAATTGCAGAGAAGTATGGTAAGTGATCAGTTAAAGACTTAAATATGGAAAATATTACACTAGGATAAAAGTCTGTGGGGAAGGTGAAGTAGAAATGGTTCAAAGAGAGAAATGAAGGACGTGCAGTTTCCATCTGGAAAGAATAACATATGGTCAGTATCACCATTGTGGCATTTTGATTCCATTGTTTACATTTAAAAGAGAGATTTAATGGTTTCATTTTAACATGTTAATACTAAAATATGCTAGGATGCTTAGCTTCTGTACATATTTAAATTTAAAATAAAAAATTTTAGATGCCAACCTAAAAATTGTAGGGGGGTGTTTGTAGTTCCTTAAGGCAGTACTTGAGCGAAAAAGTTTGCTGACGACCAGATTAGAAAAAATGCCATTTATACAAGTGGCTGGTGCTTTGACCTTGGGCAAATTGCTTATTCTCTCTAGACATTTCCTCTCCTGCCTTTTTTACAGGGTTTGGGGAGGATCACATGAGATAATCTGTATGAAGACACTTTGCAAACTATAAAATGCGATATAAATGGAATGTGTTATTAAACATTTTGAATCACTTATGTACCGTTTATCCTCTGCCTGGGCTGCTGAGACATTCTTCTCGTAGCATTTCCACCTGCAGTCCCACACCACTTCCAGACCATTTGTAGCTTTCCCTGCTGTCTGTTGCTCCACCTTTGCCTTTTAGTATCTCTCGAATTCTATTCATCTAGCTTGCCCCCACCCAGCTGTACCACTCCTTGCCCTCACCTCCGCAGAGAGACCCTTAGAAGGGTCCTGCTAAATGTCATTAACTACATCTTTCATCTAATGATTTAAATGCAGATAATAGAAGTTCTTAATATGGCATCCTAGAAGCGTTTCAAGATATTTATGAATCCTTGAAAACTGCATGCAAAATTGTATGTGTGTACATACTTTCTGGGGAGAGTGGTCCAGAGCCTTCATTAGATTTCTTAAAGTTAGAGTATGTGAACCAAAAAACAATTAAGCAGAGTTAGGGGTGAAGTCGCCATGTTCTGGAGCGTAATATTAGTGCCAGTCTCAACTGGTTCAGTGTTTCTTTCCTCTGCCAACATGTAGGTATATGGAAAGGTACAAAAGTATACCTGTTTTTAAAAATCCCAGCAGAATTATAAATTTTTAGGGCAGAGTTCTTATCCAAAAAAACCTTTCCTGTATGTCACAAGAGAATAATCATACTCATTCTGTGATTATTTCACATTATAAGTTGATGGTCCTTTTTATTTCAGTTTGAAGGAAGGAAGTATTGTGAACATGATTTTCAGATGCTTTTTGCCCCTTGCTGTCATCAGTGTGGTAAGTCTGACTACTGAATGTAAAGTAGTAAATTCCAAGATAAATAATTTAACACTACTAAAGTATCAATGGTAAAAATGATTTTTGGTGATCATTAAAAATAACTGTTAGGTATTTTAGCAGTCCCCTTCTCTGTTATTAGTATACAAAAATCTGGAAGAGTATCACAACCTGGAGAGAATTTATTTTTAGGGACATCTAGTGTAAAGGTAGTTAGGGACTAACTAGGACCTCTATCAGTTGATCTTTTGGAACGTTCTTTTCCCCTGTTAATGAAACCTTTACCTGTTTGTTTTTGGGTTTGCAAAGGAAAGAGAGGGGGAGGACAGTCAATGAGGTGCTTAAGACGCTTGAGTGTTGCCGTGTGTTCCATCAGTGCTTGACTTGCTTGCCTGTTAGCCACTTCACTGGTTGCTAACTGCTCTCCTAGAAGGTTGCCAGAGATTGGAGAAACTAAGGAGAACATTCTGAAGGTTAAATGAAAGAAGAAGTTAAGTATGGATTACAAGAAAATGTGCTGTGGATTTCAGTTGTCTGTGTTGACAATGATCCAAAAGAACCAAAAGGCATTCAAAAAAGCCCAGTGCATAGGTTTACAAAGGAAAGCCAGATATAGAAATAAGAGCCCCAAAATGTGACTGTTGTGGAGGGGAAGCTTAGATGAAATTAAAAAGCATTTTTTTTCAAACGTATCACTTACTCTGGAAGATGCATACATAGAAAGTCCATATTTGTGGAAAAAGATGTGAACCTATTTTTTCCTTGATGTTTTTTCCCCATACTGGACATATTTTATATGCTGTTTCTCCACAGGTGAATTCATCATTGGCCGAGTTATTAAAGCCATGAATAACAGCTGGCATCCCGAGTGTTTCCGCTGTGACATCTGCGATAAAACTTTGGCAGATATTGGGTTTGTCAAGAATGCAGGGAGGTAGGAGGATTTCATTCTTGTGGATGGCTAGAGTGACTGTGTGGGGTCATGCCTCTTCTCCCTCTGGCGTCGTAAGGCAGCGCACTAGGAAACTGAATTTAGGCTTCAGGAACTCAGAGACAGCAGTAGATTGGCTAATCTAATGCCTTCTAGGAAAGGGCCTAGAATGTTGTGCACTAGGGCATGACTGCTGGAGCCCTGGTAGCTCAGTGGTTAAGAACTCAGCTGCTAACCAAAAGGTCAGCAGTTTGAATCCACCAGCTGCTCCTTGGAAACCCTACAGGGAAGTTCTACTCTGTCCTGTAGGGTCACTACCGACTTGACGGCAACGAGTTGAGTTTTTTTTTTGTTAGGATGTGACTGCTAGATGCATTCCTTGGCTGCCAAATCGGAGGTAGGGATATAAGATGGAGTTTCTTGAAAATCAGTCAGATTATCAGGGTCGGGATAATTGCTTACGGTGTTATTTTTACAAGTATTGTTTATGTCCTTAGACTTTTTGTAACTCTTTAAGATGAATTTTAATTATCACTCTGTGGTATTTATTATCATACTATGGTTAATGCAGCGTTACTCAGATGGATGCTTAAATACTGATGCTTGTTGAAAGTAGTAGCCTGATTCTGCTCTGTTAAGCACGGCAGTAACTTTTTAAGAAATGAGTTCTTTAGTTTCTTTCTGGAGAGATGGAAAGTTTTTTTGTTTTTTTTTTAAGTTATGAGAAAGAAGACACCTTAGATTTCAGATTTAGTTTTCTAAAGAAGTTTTTGCTCTCTTCAGACATCTGTGTCGCCCCTGTCATAATTGTGAGAAAGCCAGAGGCCTCGGGAAATACATTTGCCAGAAATGCCATGCCATCATCGATGAACAGCCACTGATATTCAAGAATGACCCTTACCATCCAGATCATTTCAACTGTGCCAACTGCGGGTATGGTGGTTTCTGACCTTTCTTTGCTGCACTAGCCGTGGAAATAGCCGATCAAACTGATCTCTGTTTCGATTCCTCCAGCAGACCACACGTATCTCTTTTTCTGTTTTCTCCAACTTTTAGTTTGGAAACTTTTACATCTATAGAAAAGTCAAGGGAATAGCATAATGAACACCTATATCCCCTTCACCTGGTTTCACCAGTTAATATTTTGCCACATTTGGGTGTGTGCATGCTTTCTCTCTGTGTACACATATACACATACCTACACAGTTTTTGTCACTGAACAGTTTCAAAGCCAGGTGCAGACACCATGACTGACCCTCAGCATACATCTCCTGAGAACGAGAACATTCTCCTCAAGAATCACCATACCTTTTCATATATTCAAAAAATTGCCGTTAATTCTATAATGTCTTCAGATATCCAGTCTGTATTAAAATTTCCCCACTTACTCCAGACACTGCCTTTTATCACTGTGTTTTTCCAATACGGGGTCCAATTTAAAAAAAACAAAAAAAAAACCAACTTAGTCTTATCTCTGTATGTATGATTCTTACAGTTATCATAATTAGGGTGTTATTTTAAAACATCTTAAATTCCATTTAGTTAGTTTTGCTTGATTCACATCTAAAGAGATTTTTTTTTCTTTAAAAACCCATGATAAATTTTTAGAGTATGGTTTTCTGAATTTGTTATCTAGTCTAAAAGATACTTTAAAGTTAATATGAGTTATATGCTAAGTTATATTAGGGAAATAGGAGAGAAGGTGGGCTAAAGATTTAAGAAAATGGTTTTGTGGTACAAAAACACCCACCTCATCTTTTCTGATTGGATGATCAGTTTGTCCCGTATCTAGTTTTCTTGTCCCCCCTCCTTCTGTGAGATTTTTCTCTTTCCATTTTCTGTTAGCATTTCTCTTGGAGAATTACTCAAAACAAAGGAAATTCAAACAAGTCTATTTGGCTAATTGAGACCATCTCTGTCTAAATGTTTCATGATGCAGGAGACTAAAAATAATACCTTAAGCATTTGGAGAAGGAAGATTCTAGGAATTTCATTGTTTATTTTCTCTTAACCTAACTGTTCCTAACAGCTTGCAACAATAATTGTTAGTAAATAAAACTAGTTTCCAAATCAGTCAGTTTGGAAAATCATTATCACGCATTCTGCCCTCAGCACTGTAACTGTTCTCTAGCTTTTTACTGATGATTAATGGATATAAATGTAAGGTGATAATATGATGAGAAAATGATAATAGGACCAGTGTGATTGTATGTATCTGACTTATTGTCAAATCTTATTATTATACGATATTAAAATCCTTTAATTACTACATTTTTTCTCCTTGATTTTTTAGTTTTTTGAAGGTATTGTTTTCAGTATTGGAATGCATGCTTGCTAATTGAGTGTTTAAATTTTTGGATGGTAATAGGGATTTTGAGAAATATGATCTGGTAATACAAGCCATCAATGAGGCGAGTGGCCCTGTGGCGCCACCGATCTGTGGTATGACAGTATACCAACGAGAGCTACGTAAATAATTTATTGCGGGCGCCTTTCTATCAGGTTACATGGGGAACCGCTGGTTTTCCAAATATGACACAGAAGAACCAAATCAAACCCATTAGGGTTCCCTAACTATCACACCGGAAAGCCCTAATTATGCTCGCAAGCCTTAGCTCGCAGAAATAAAGGAAAAGGGGCTAAAGTTTACAAAACTAACACATCCAGGAAGCATCGCCTAATAGAATGCTCAGCCTACGCAACAGTGAGGCTCCAGCTCCGGTCTGCTCAGCTTCACACGTTTCAAAAGGGACCCACCTTGATGCTAAATGCATTAGAACTGGAATAAGGCCTTACCTCTGAGGTCCGAGGCATAAAAAGTGGCCGGGATACCATTAACCCAGTGGTAACAAAAGAGTTAATGTTTTGTTAGCAATCTGAAACCTGTTCAAGTCTATTAATTCACATTACTCTGATTACCTCTTAGGGGGAGGAAAAAAACGGTGTCAGGTATTGTTGTAATTTCTTTATAAACCTTCTAAAAAGTGTGGTAGCCAAATTAGTTGCCTCTTTTTAGACTCTCTTGGTAGTATTATTCAGTTGGATATCTTTCTCACGGACAGGAAGGAACTGACCGCTGATGCCCGGGAGCTGAAAGGGGAACTATACTGCTTGCCATGCCACGATAAAATGGGAGTCCCCATCTGTGGCGCCTGTCGACGGCCCATCGAGGGACGCGTGGTAAATGCCATGGGCAAGCAGTGGCATGTGGAGGTGAGTTCTGAACGGAGTAGGGAAGGTGGTGGTTGTTGGTTGCCGTCAGACTGATTCTGACTTACAGCCACCCTATGTGTGCAGACTAGAACTGCTCCATAGGGTTCTCAAGGCCGTGAACTTTTAGAAGCAGATTGCCGGGCCCATCTTCCGAGGTGCAACTGGGTTGGTTTGAACTGCCAACCTTTCCGCTGATAGTCAAGTGCTTCACCCTTTGCACAACCCAGGGATACACATGGTAGAGGTGTAAACAATATTTTTTGAATCTCCATGGTTCGGGTGTGCTAACAAGATTAGGATATTCTACGGGTTAAATATGGACATTTTAAAGGAACTAATTTTGTAGAAAATTAAGAATATAGAACACATACTGCTTTTGTGATCTCTCAGTAATGATACGTGATGTGCATTTTTGTTCTTGTTATTAAGGTAAAAAGTGTCGTGGTCCATAGCCAATAGCAGCCCCTCCCTATGGGTGCTTCTGAGATGTTCATCTCTTTTCTGTGTTGTTTGAATAGGCTTTGTCTCAGCCTATCTGAGACTCACAGATACCTGAATCAAGCTTGTCTGTAAAAGTGTTAGAGAGATTATCCATGGCCAAATGAAACTACTGCCTCAAACTTCCATGTATCTTCTCTGAGAATATTTTTATTTTGGAATTTTGCTTCACTAAATAAATAATATGTGGCTATTCGAAAATGACCTGTAGCAATTTTTTTTCAGCATTTTGTTTGTGCCAAGTGTGAAAAGCCATTTCTTGGACATCGCCATTATGAGAGGAAGGGCCTGGCGTACTGTGAAACCCACTATAACCAGGTATCGACAGCACTCATTGGAGGCTAGATCCACTTTTACGGGTTTGAGTTTCTCAATATTTTAGCTACGAGGAAATTGCTTAGAAAATGTACGTTGGTCTATCAGGATTTGCTTCTAAGTTTTTATTTGAAAATAATTTCAGACTCACAAGTAAGTTGCAGAATAGAAATGAGAAGAATACCTGTATACCTTTTACTCAGGTTCACCATTTGCTGCATTATTTGCGTGGCTTACTCTCTCTCTCTATAAAAACACGCACATATAAATGCACATGTATTTGTATACATGTATACAAACACACAAAATTTTTCTTTCTGAAGCATTTGGTGGTCAGTTACATATTACATACATCATGGCCTTTACCCCTAAATACTTCAGTATATATTTCCCAAGAATTTGGATACTGTATTTATAACCACAGTACAGTTATCAGTATTGATACAATACTTTATTGTTCATATTTCAGTTGTGTCATTTGACCCAATAATGTCCTTACAGCATTTTTTTTCTGCTCCAGTACTGGATCTAGTCTGGGGTTGTCTTGACTCTTTAGCCTCCTTCAGTCTGGAACCTTTCCAGAGCCTTCGTTTGTTTTTTTACAACATAGACATTTTTAAAGAATACAAATTCCTTCCCCTCTCCTCCTTTTTAATAGAATGCTTCTCATTTAGGGGCTTGTCTGATGTTTCTTCATGATTAGGTTGAGGTTATGCCTTCTAGGCTGCAGTCCTGCATAGGTGAGGCTGTTCTCAGTGTATTACATCTGGAAGCACATAACACACTGTCCATCTGTCCCTCGTTGATCATCACCCAGTCAAGGTGTTGTCTGATCACCACTGTGTAATTGCCCTTTTCCCCCTTCCCTTGCAACTAATAAGCAATGTGTTGGCAGTCATTTGAAGACCAAGCAAGTATCCTGTTCCTCATCAACTCCCCCTGCCCCCCCCATTTGGCACCCGTTGATGAGTCTTGCCTGAGCTAGCCTCTACACTGCTGGTTACAGAAGATAGTTCGCCGGCTCTTGCCTCCCCCACTCTTGGTTGACCCTCAGCATTCTGTGTCTGCATGTTTTGTTGTTTTATTTCTTAACCGTATGAACTTGCAAGTTCTTAGACATTCTTGAACAGTCTATAATTCGTTACTATTACTTATTTTGATGCTCAAAATGTCCTCTAGATAGATTTTTTTAAAGGGATGAAAAGTTCATTATTTTCATTGTAAGAAGTAAAATCTACTCAATGAACTTTACTAATTCACCGTTACTAATGGTAAGTTCTGGTTTTACATAGCCAGCTATTTGTTCTTAAAGGAGAGAGAGAAATTGCATGAAATTTCCTGTGTTCTTAAACCTAACACTTTTTTTTTTCCATTTTCAGCTATTTGGTGATGTTTGTTTCCACTGTAACCGTGTTATTGAAGGTGATGGTAAGTATCTGTGGATTTTATATGACATCATTTTGGCATAAAAACACTTGTGTAATGTGAAAATTGAAAAAGGTTGATGGTTGCTATTTTTTGGAATGTGATCATTATCAGTTACTTTAGTTCTGTTTTATGATAATGCTTTAAGCTCATATTGAGCATTTCAAGTTCATTCTAAGACTATGACTCAAAGTGCACATTCCACATATGATACCACATTTCTTTCAGTGATTACCGTGGATCCGTAGGCATGGGCTATGAGAGGAACTAGGCTGTGGCAGTAAGAACTCCAGTTGGGATTGCCACTGCGGAAGCTCCAGACTGTTGTCTTGCTGTGGAGTCTCCTCTGCTGCCCAGCGCCACAGGGTTCTTCCACTAGGGACTGAGGGAACTCTTACCACAGTCTCTGTCCTGGGCATTCCTGAGACCTGTTTTTGTTTTTAGTCCCTGGAATTACATAATGTGGAAGTTATAACAGGGCAATGTTTATTAGGAACAGTTTAGTCTGCTGTGCTAGTTAGGAAGAATGTTTAGCCTTGTAGTTGCTAAAACCTGGCAGTTAGCTATAGGCATTTCTAGTGTTTATCAGCCTTGTCCTGTGATAATTAGGCAGGGCTGATTGGAACAGAGAGGAAGCAGCTGTGTTTGCGAATAGTGACTAACACAATTCTGCCAGAAACTTCCTGGCAACGTGTTAAGCGTTCCTGTTTTCAGCAGGCTTTATAGTTCTCAGCAGACATCACTTAACTCAGGAAATACTTTCTGAAACACTGCCTCTATGCAGTTTGCAAAAGGACGAGTTCAGGAAGGCGGTATTTAGTGCCATTCAAAATAAAACTCCCTCCTACTTGAAGCAGACAGTTGCCAGGTGAAAGAAGATGTCAAAGGAAGGTAATTGCTTATTGTCAGCTTTGGAAGAAAGACTCCTATGTGCAGATAAGTTAGCGTCTAGATTTTTAAAAATTATCTATCTAGTTTATATTTCTCTGTTGGGCAGGTGGCAATCGGAGCATTAGTGTAGCAGAGAGTGTACTGGTAGGCAAGCACTGTCCCAGAAATGCTAATCCGAGTGATGTGATGCATATTCAACATACGCTGGCCTCATCCAGAGACGATGTACTCTGGTGAAAAGACATGGTGCATACCATTTATATTCCCCACAGGATATTCAAAGGCAAAAAAATTGAACGACAAGTGAAGGTTGAAAAAGGCAACGATAACCTTCCCTAAGTAGAAGCTTCTACTCATGGGAGTCATAAATTAAGTGTTCTGTTTGAATGTGTTTTAATAATTGAAAAATAGCCTCAACATCATTAACAAAATTGATTAAATGAATAAACATCAGTTAATTGACGGCACTGAGCTTTTTACTTACGTGATTCTTTTGCTAGAAGACCTCTTGAAGGTTTATTCCAAGTATTGTGGAAAAAGCTTTGGTTCCATTTTAGAGTTGAAAATTTCCCTTTCCCCTGTCTCCCATACTGATGTATTTCTATGTGACCAAATCTCTGCTCTCTTTCTCTAGTGGTTTCTGCCCTTAATAAAGCCTGGTGCGTGAACTGTTTTGCCTGTTCTACCTGTAACACTAAATTAACACTCAAGTAAGTACTACAGTTTAGTCTAGTGTGAATCCTAAGACTAAACACTTCGGGGTAACGTTTTTTTAATAGTCGTAGAATTTTTTAAGAGAATTATTTGATTCCGTATTTCTTCTTTCTGTTCAGGCCTTCTGAAAATAAGGTACTTCCTTTAACTATTCCCTGTTCTTTCCTCTATTTCTTTGTCCTGCTCAAAGGGATAAATTTGTTGAAATTGATCTAAAACCAGTCTGCAAACACTGTTATGAGAAAATGCCAGAAGAATTTAAGAGGCGACTTGCCAAACGGGAGAGAGAAGCAAAGGATAAGGACAAGCAGAAAAAGAAACAGCCAGTCTGTTTGTAAACTTTTCTGTCCCTTCTATCGTCATTTTCACTACTCCCTTCTTTGGTTAGTCCTCTGGAATGTTTTTGTTCTGTTTCCATTTTTTTTTTTCCTTTTGCATGTATTTGTAGCTGCCAGAGATTGAAATACAAGTATGTGTCACGTGTAGAGTTGGTCTTTTTGCATAATTATTAAAATTGTAAACCTTAAAGGAATAAGATCCACGCTTATATCAGCTTGTGCTTCACGTATTTTCCTCAATCATTAGAGTTCCCCTCCTACTCTTTTTCAGTCACTGTATGGTAGATATCCTTTTCTTTTCTTTTTCTTTTTTTTAATGGATTCAGGGGAAGGATTCCAATCGGCTACTAGATGGTGGAGAAAGTTTTAAAGTATTTTTATTCGGTAACTGGAGCTTTTAAAATCCTAGTCTTTGGTTTCTTTGTCTAAAATCATTTAATTGATAAATTGCAAATATCATTGGATATTGTTTTTAAAATGCACACATTCCACATTCTGTATTAAATCCTCTTCAGCATGTTTCATATCTAAGCAAAGTTCATCGAATGTACATAGTAAGATATCTATAATCTTTGGTGTATGTGTATGTGATTTCATAAAATGCCCATGTGGTACTGTTTATGAAGTCATCTCCTTGATATCTTCAAACTCTTTTAATTCTGATTTTTTTTTAAATTTTATTTTTGCTGTTCTTGAGAATATATACAGCAAAACTCTATACCAATTCAACAGTTACTTGTACAGTTCAATGACATTGATTGTATTCTTCCAGTTGTGCAACCATTCTCACCCTCTTTTTCTGAGTTGTTCCTCCCTCATTAACATAAACTCACTGCCCCTAAGGTTCCTATCTAATCTTTTGAGTTGCTGTTGTCAGTTTGGTCCCATATAGATAGTTCTTAAAAGAGCGCAGTGCTCAAGGCAGACATTCTTTATTAAGCTAAACTATCATTTGGTTTTAAGAAGACTTCAGGGGATATTTTTGGCTTCAAGTTTAAAGATTATCTCAAGGCAATAGTTTCAGGGGTTCATCTAGCCTCCATTGCTGCAGACCGTCTGGATTCCATGATAATTTGAAATTTTGTTCTGCATTTTCCTCCTTTTGATCAGTATTGCTCTATAGAATCTTTGATCAAAATGTTTCAGTAATGATAGCTGGGGACCATCCACTTCTTCAGGTCTCATAGTTTTTATAGAGCGTATTTCAATCTTTGAAATTCTGCTGAATTACTAGCATGATTTTCCCCTCATGGTTACCATTGTGTTTTGAGCTCTAAAATTTTTTTAATGTTACAGATCTTTTGCTAAAGAGGAAGTAAAACTCAAATATAAAATTAAAATTATGGAAGGCTTGCTAAGTAGTTTCTCTGAAAGCAGTATTAATTTCTTTAATTAAAAAAAAAGACAATTTTAATAGCTTTTGATCTAGGAGAAATGTGTAACTCAATAGTGCTATTAAATCAGGCTACCCCCTTGAAGCATTTGCAATATAACATCATTTGAATTACTCCCAGCATTAGGGCCCCGGTAAAAAATACAGCTGAAAAGTACTTGCCATTGTGGTGCCTTAAAAGAATTTTCACTGTAAATATGTCATTAAGAATTAACTTTGTTATTGACATTGTTCTATTAAGATTATTTTGAAGCCTATAGTCTTCTAATTTAATATACTTTTAAAATACATTAAAATTATAACAACAGGTTTTATCATTTTGTCATAGTTGATAATGTACCACTAGACTTGTTAAACAATGTTTATTAAATATAATTTCACAGAAAATGAACAGGTTATAACGTTGTGTATTTACTCAATTTGGAATTAAAGACCCTAGATTCCAAAAGTACAGGACAAGCACAGGACAAGTATAGGCTGTCTGAAAAGTTGTCTTCTCCCAGACTGTTGTGCAAATAAATTGATAACATATATTTGCTCTAGCGTTTAAAAAGAAGAGATAGGTTCTCTATACAGCCACCATGTACAAAGAGAACAATGGCTGATTTGGTTACATTTGTGTTCTTTAAGAGCAATTAAAAACTTTCTCATATCTTTCCTACCAACCTTTTCTGTCAAACAACCAAAATGACTCTTTATGATATAAGATAAACATTTTGTTGGGGGTGGGAGGCGAATCATCTTGCACTAGGAAAGATGAAACCTCAAAGCTACCTAATTTAAAATATTAAGATCGTTTTGTCTCTAGTAAAGAGAGGATTTTTCACATTACAAAAAGATGATTCTTTGCTTTAAATAAATGTATTCTTTAAGTTGTGTACTCATGATACTGTAAAATGTAATTTACTTACTTTAGATTTGCTGTATACTTAGAATCTGGTAAAATATAATACACATTTTATATTACACAGATATATAGGACCAATTTACAAGGACAAACTTTTTTCAAACGATACTGTGAATTTATGTTATCTACCACAATGACAAGAATTGCGATTAGAATTGTAGTCCCTTCCTAACATGGATAGAAGTGCCATTGTACAGTTTCTTCATTTAGTTCATTAAAATGACTTCACATTATTTATATGTCTATGTTAAATACATTTCTACTAATTTTTTATTATTATTATCCTTAGGAATAAGTTTGTGGAGTTTGACATGAAGCCAGTTTGTAAGAAGTGCTATGAGAAGTTTCCACTGGAGCTGAAGAAAAGACTTAAGAAACTATCTGAGACCTTAGGGAGGAAATAATTGCCTTTATTTTACTTTTTTGCTTCTATGCAAAGATAAGAAATCAACAACATGACTTGACTTGATCCATCTTTATTTAAACTGTATCTCAAAAGAGTTGAGACTGAGGGGGACTTAAATGTATGGTTTTCTTCATCTCTTTTTTTTTTTCCTCATTAAAAAAGAAAAAAAATGTTTGTGTCATGTATTTAAAACACAGCTGACATCAGGATTTGCCTTTGTTAATCCTTATCAATTTATTGACATATACACTGTACTTAATAGCAAAAATCACATAATTAAATGTTAATTAAGGTCTAAAAAATTAACTATAACTTGGTAAAATGAAAGTAAGGAGTCAGCTTTTACATGACTCAGATAAAAAACAATATAAACATTTTTTTACTTTGTATTCAAAAGAAAATCATTTCCAACTGCTGTTGGGAGGAAATATGGGAAAGAAAAATAACCCACCAAGAAAAACAAACCTTACACAAACTTAGCATGTTGATCAGATTAATAGCTGTAAAGTGGACAAGAAACACGTATTCAGAACTACTTGATTTTGTTACATTTTGGTTACATGCAGTACTTATTATGCTTAGTTTTATATGTTGTTCTTGTGAACTTCTTCCTTCATATAAATACTTAACAATAGTCATAGCTAATTAATAGTATGCCTTTTTAAATTTTGTGCAAAAATTTTATACCTGATATTTGAAAATACAGTGTACTTTACAATAGTGGACAAAATGAAGTATTTTTTAATGTATTAGAGCAAATATGCCTTTAAGTTTAATGTCAAAGATGTAGACTTACAGTAGGACATGAAATTAAATTTTATGCAGCTTGAAATATATCACTTAAAACGTGTGTGTATATGTATTGGTCATATTGCCTTTATAACCACACTAATATCTGTGCTTTATACATAATCAAATTTGCCTTGCCTTAGAAAAACACATACTTTAATCAAGAATTCTAGATGTTTGGTACAATACCAACTAAAAATAAGTGCATCGATTGGGATTTGTAAACACAAATTCGTTTATCACAGCACTGCTGATTTTTTTTTTCTTCTCAGTTTGTTGGAGAAACCCGTTAAAATTAATTTCTGTCATCTTATTAGGGAGAATAATGTTGATATGTAATTGTTTCAGGTTTTCTATTTCGAATCTCATAATTAATTGGATTTTATTTAGTATAAGTAAGAGCTGTAAATGACACTTTGAAATTGGAAGAGAGATGTCAAAAGTGTTAATTTTAGGTCAGAAGTAGTGAATTATTCTACTTTATAAAAAATTTTACCCCAAAGTTCCAGGACCATTCTTTGTGGATAAGCTTGTTGTGCAAAGCAAAAGCTTTAGGGACATTTTTAAAATGTTGCTGCTGCTATGTTAGTGTTTAAAAAGAAAGTTACCAAGATGGGCCTCTAAAAGGAAAACTGCTGATTTTTCCAAATATTGCTGAAAATACTGTTTTGCCATAAAAAAAATCTCAGGATGCTACCACTCTGCCATTAAAATATTTATATGCATGCATTTTTTTAAATTTGTGCATGCACTTTACAGAGTAAATTCTGTTTCTGTTTTCAAACAGGTTATTTTTTAATGTTCTTTTAGAATTCAAAGAATTTGATTGAAATTAATAACATATTTTAAGATTGTACATGTTCAGTAGTTTGAAACGATCTTTGCATTTGACGGTAAGAATCAAAATCCCTTCCGTGTGCCTTTGTCAGCTAATATATGACCAGCAATGAAAACCTTGAAAGTATTTATTAAGTATTATACTATGGATGTAGGCAAAATAGGATAGTATAGGGTCTTGATGGTAAATTCACCCCTACACAAAAATACAAAGCAGAAAAGCCTTTACCTATATTCTTAACCACTTTGAAGATGCATGGACTGAACTCAACTGCTTTGCTTATGTATCTTACATAGCTAGGCATCTTCTGTGGCCAGAGGTCCAATGCTTTCTTTGCTCAGTCCTTTCTTAAAATGTGAATTGATGTTTCTTAGAAGTTTGACTTGTTAAGTCCCTAACACCTTAGGGTAGTTTATCTAGATACAGAACATCATTAGAGCCCTTACATGTGGGAAAGAAAGAAGTTGAAAAGTTACAAATGGAATAGAAGACAAACTTGGTCAGTTTCATAATGTTTTTTGTGGGGCTTGCCCTGGCTACTGAAAAACTCATGCCAGTTAGCATCTCTTTATTGGAAGTCCTACATGACAATATGAAATGATTTTTTTTTTTTGTTTACACCTAATTTCCAAGTGCTCATTTTCTTAGCAAGCCTAATATTATTGGGAATAACGTCTTGGTACAATTAAAACATTCTTTGGATCATACTCAAAGCCCTATTAACACTGCACCTGAAGTAATGTTATCTTGCCTCAATCATTTGCCAAAATAGCCATTTGTAAGTTATGGGTGTTTTGAGGTATTTCATTTTAGATTGTACGCTTAATGGCAAGGATACTATATCAATAATTATGTTTTTATATAGCAACGAATGCAGTATACTCTTGGTGCTTAATAAATGTTCATAATTATTAACCATAACCTGTTTATGCAGTGTTTAATTTGTCTCTATGAGTTTTCCTAATCTAGATATTTCATATAAATGGGATGATAAAATATTTGTCCTTTTATGTCTGACATTTCACTTAGCATAATGTTTTCAAGGTTCATCTATGTTGTAGCTTGTATCAGAATTTCATTTCTCTATGTGGCTGAATGATATTATATTGTACATACAGGTAGTCCCTGACTTATGACATATTGGAGTTATAACAAACTGCACTTACAGCAGCTTATCATTAGTAGTATGTACTGCATACAATGTTAAAATATACCTGTAAGCTTATGTGTAATGTTTCTAATCCCCAAAGACAAATCAAGGTCAGATTTATGAAGATACTGATAATAAAAGGCAATAATAATGAAAAGTTAAAAAAAAAATGAGGTAATTGACTTACATCAGAACCGACTTACAACAGAGTGGTCAGAATGGAACTGTATCACAAGTCAGGGACTACTTGTACATGCCACATTTTGTTTATCCATTTATCAGTTAATGGATACTTGAGTTGTTTCCACCTTTTGACTATTGTGAATAATACTGCAATGAACATTGGTATACATGTATCACTTTGAGTCCCTGCTTCAAGGTCTGTTGAGTATGTACTTAGGAGTAGAATTGCTGGGTCTTAGAGTAATTCTATATTAAACTTTTGGAGGAGCCGCCAAACTGTTTTCCATAGCAACTGCACCATTTTACATTCCCATCAGAAATGCACAAGGGTTCCAGTTTCTCCACATCCTCGTCAACACTTGTTATTTTCTCTTTTCTGATAATAGCCATCCCGGCAGTTGTGAAGTGGTATCTTATTGTAGTTTTGATTTGCATTTTTCTAATGACCAACAGTCCTGAGCATCTTTTCATGCGCCTATTGGCCATTTGTATATCTTCTTTGGAGAAATTTCTCTTCACCTTCTTCGTCCATTTTTTAATTGGGTTTGTCCTTTTGTTGTTGAGTTGTAGTTCCTTATATATTCTGGATATTAAACCCTAATCAGCTATATGGCTCCCAAATATTTTCTCCCATTCTGTAGGTTGTCTCCTTACTTTCTTTTTTTAAAAGTATTTTATTGTGTTTTTGGTGAAAGTTTACTTAGCAAGTCAGGTTCCCATTTGAGAATTTCCACACAAATTGTTCAGTGGCATTAGTTACATTTTTCACAGTGTGTCAACATTCTGTTTAATTGTGTTCTGTTTGTTCCCTTTCCAGTACTCTAGTTTCCCTGTCCTATTATCTTGTCATCTTTGCTTTAGAATAAATGTTGACCTTTTGGCCTCATACAGATGATTTTTTAGTAGAACACCATCCTTACAGGTAGTATCGTTTATCTTGTGTGCCACTCTGCTATTTCGCTAGAAGGTGATCTCAGGATATAGTTCTGATTCACAGTTTAAAGAGTGTCTCAGGGCAATAGTCTCAGGGAGTCCTCTGGTCTCAGCTGGTCCAGTTAGTGTGGCCTTTTTTAAGAATTTGCATTTTCTACGTTTTTCTCCCATCCTATCCAGGACCATCTATTGTGACTCCAGCAGAAGGTCAGTGTGTTAGCCGGGCACAATCTAGTTCTTCTAGTCTCAGGGTATATGAGGCCATGGCTCGTGTAGGCTATCAGCCTTGTAGATGTCCTTCTCTGATATTTTGGTGACCTTCTTACTCTTGCTACTGACAAGTAGAGACCAATAGTTGTATCTAGATAGCTGCCTGTAAGCTTTTAAGACCCTAGATGCTACTCACTTCACTAGGATGCAGAACATGGACTTTGTGAACTGTATTATGTCAGTTGACTGAGTTGTCCAATGAGACTATGGTCCTAAGCTTTAAAACCTAGAAAACCAATCTCAGAAGGTAGTTACATCTGAGGAGTATCTGTAGTTGTGTCTTCAATGAATATATGTGCTTGCCTACACATATCTGTATTTACACATACATACAGATACTTCAGAGCCCTAGTAGTGCAGTGGTTAAGAGCTCTGCTGCTAACCATAAGGTCGGCAATTGGATTCCACCAGCCACTCCTTGGAAACCCTGTGAGGCAGTTCTCCTCTGTCCTATGGGGTCACTATGAATCGGAATCGACTTGACAGTAACAGGACTCTTCTCATATACATAGACACCTGTACTTCCTCATAGACCTATATCCACCCATACGTGAGCATGCGTTCGTTTGTTTGTCTTTGTTAAAGTTGTTGACTTCTGATATATGTCAGATTCTTTAGTTACAGGCGTCTTTTTCTCTTGAGTGCTTCTCAGCAACATAATTTACTTTGGTCAAGCTGTGCTAACTACACACGCATTGATTGCCACTTTCCCATCACCAAAAATGCCAAGTACTTACGATCTAAAGCGTTCTTCCCATTTCCCCTGTTCTCTCCCTGGTAGCCACCAGTGAACACTGGTCTCGTTTATATATATATATATATGTATGTATGTATGTATATATTCTTGTCTTCTTATAAAAGAGGGATAATACAATAGTTGTCTTTATGTGCTTGACTTATTTCACTTAGCATTATGCCCTCTAGGTTCATCCATGTTATAATATGTTTTGCAGACTCATCTTTTTTTTATGGTTGCATAGTATTCCACTGTAAAAATGTACCACATTTTGCTTATCTGTTCATCCACTGATGAGCACCTTGGTTGTTTCCATTTTTTTGCTATTGTGAATAAAGCTGCAATGAACATAGGCAAACATATGTCTGTTCGTGTCACTCCTTTTAGGTCTCTAGGGTATATACCTAGGAGGAGGATCACTGGATCATAGGGTAGTTCTATCTACAGTTTTTTGAGGAAGTGCCATATTGTTTTCCATAGTGGTGGTACCATTTTACAGTCCCACCAGCAATGGATAAGGGTTCCAATCTCCCCATATCCTTGCCAACATTTGTTATTATCTGTTTTTTTTTTTTTTAATCAGTGCCATTTTAGCAGAGGTGAGAGAGTATCTCATTGTAGTTTTGATTTGCATCCCTCTAATGGCTAATGATCGTCTCTGCTGTGGAGCCTTGTCCTTGGTGAAAATTCTGGGACACGTGTCCTTAGTTTGTGCAACAGAATTTTCCAAGTCTTTTAAGTTTTGTTTTCATTTTGCACAGATCATTTTTAAGTCCCTCTCTTTTCTTCTCACATTTTACTCTAAGTGGCAAGGAGAAACCACACAGTCCCTTTAAGATCTTGCTTAGAAATTTTCTCAGCCAAATACTCACGTTCATCGTTTGCAAGTTCTATCTTCCACCAAACTTTTGAACATAATTCTGACAAATTCTTTGCCACTGCGTAAAAATCATCGCCCTTCTTCCATTGTCCAATCACGTCACTCCACTTCTGGTGGAGTGTTCTGTATATGTCCATTAGGTCAAATTGGCTTATGGTTATTTCAATGTGCTTAGTGATCTTCTTTTTAGATGTTCTGTCTAGGATTGAAAGTGGTGGGTTGAAGTCCCCAACTATTATTGTGGAGTTGTATATTTCTCCTTTCATATTATTCAATATTTCATGTATCTTGGAGCATTGATGTTAAGTGCATATATATTTATAATTGTTACGTCTTCTTGCTGGATTGACCCTTTTATTATTATATAATGTCCTTTATCTCTTATAATAGATTTTGATTTAAAGTCTGTTTTATCTGATATCCGTATGGATACCTCTGCTCCTTTGTTTACTGGTTGCATGGAATATTTTCTTCCATCCTTTTATTTTTAATCTGTTTGTGTCCTTATGTTTAAGGTATGTTTCTTGTAAAGAGCAAAAAGATGGATCATGGTTTTTTTTAATCCATTCTGCCACTCTCTGCCTTTTGGATGGGGAGTTTAGATCATTAGCATTTAAGGTTATTACTGAAAACAGAATGTCTACCTCATTCATTTTGCTATTTGTTTTTTGAGTATTTCATATCTTCTTCGTAGTTTTATTGTCATTTTTCTGTTATTTGTTTGGCTGCTTTCTTGAGATGAGCCTTTCCTTCCTTCATTTCTGTATATTTTTTCTAGGTGATTTCTTAGTGCTTACCACACATATTACATCACACAACTTGCAGTTGTGACAAATTTTACATATGAACAACAGGTAACATACAACATTAATCTATTAAATCTCTTCCTGATTCCCCCCTCCCTACTCCCATTTCTGTTGCTGAGTCTCCGTTAACATCATTGTACATCCTATATCTGATAGGTTTACCTTGTACTTACTTCTTGTGAACTTGATATTGTATTGCTTGTGGGATTAAATTATTGAATTTATTCCCTGAAAATATTGTATACTTGGTCCTTATGATTGCCCACATTGTTGTATTTTTTGGAGATCGCTGTCTTTCTTATTATTTTTTTTTCCCATGTAGAGATTTGAGTATTTGTTTAATGTCCTTGCCTTTCCATTTGGAGAACTCCCTTGAGTAATACTTGCAGAGCTGGTCTGATCGTGGCAGATTCCCAGAGCTTTGTTTATTTGGGAATGTCTTGATTTCCCCCTTGTTTTTGAATGACAGCTTTGCAGGGTAAAGAGTTCTTGGTTGGCAGTTGTTTTTGTTCAGTATTTTATATATGTTGCTCCATTGTCTTCTGGCCTCTAGAGTTTCTGGGGAGAAATCTTCACTGATTCTTATGAAGGACCTTTGGTGTATTACATTGCGTTTTCCTCTTGCTGCTTTCAGAATTCTCTTCTTGTCTTTGGTTTTCAGGAATTTTATTAGAATGTGACACAAAATTGATTTTTTTGTATTTCTTTTAATTGGAGTTTGTGTAGCTTCCTGTATTTGCCGGTCTGGTTCTCTGTGCAGGTCTGGGAAATTCTCTATGATTACCTCTTGGAAAATTGTTTCTATGCCTTTATTATTGTCATGGTGCTCTGAAATACTAGTAATTCTAATGTGAGATTTCTTAATTGAATCCATTATTTTCTTTTGGTTTTGTTTGCTTTTCTTTGTTCTTTTCTCTTGTTTCTCTTGAGACTTGATGAGTTCAGTTACTCTGTCTTCTAGTT